TCCAGGTGGGTCACCCAGAGCTTTGATGACCAATAGGAAGACAGAGAGAAACTGAGAGGGTGTGTGTCCAGGGCCCACTGGGGACACCAAAGCAGCAAGATTCTCTCAGAAAAGCAAGGGTGGAGGGAGGTGACTTGTTAGGAATCTCATCAAAGAGAGAAAAAGGGAATCAGTGAGGCCTATCTCTTTCAAATATCTACTATGAAATTCTTCAGACAAGGGAAGGTAGAAAGAATGGTTCAAGGAACAGCTGTTTATCAATAACCTAGCTTGAGATCCCACATTTCCACAGTCAGAGCCACCTGGACACCCTCCTCTGCTTGCAAACCCATCCATCCACTATCCTGAATGCTGGGATTATTAGGCTCTGCCAATAACCTTCTGGGACAGCGTCCTTACTTAGGTGAGTCAAGAAGATGTGAGCACTAGCATGTCTCGGTCGAGTTCCTGGCTCCTGAGGGCCATGTCACACTGACCTAGGCCCTGCCCCATGGACGCACAAGCTGGGAAAGATTAAGCAACTCTCGACAGTCAGGAAAAACCCAGAAATAAAAGAGAATTTAGAATTTAAGTTCCAATCTCACTGCACGGGACTGAGCAGGAAGAGTCCTGTCCGGGCACTGAACACAGCAGAGTAAGCTGGACGTCCACCTTGGCAATCTTGCCACCCACAGGGAGGTGGTGGTGATCCCAACACCTGGGCCCAGCTTCCCTCGGCAAGTGTCCCACTTAGGCCTCTCCTGGCAATTTGCAGAAGCTTCTGGGAAGGAGGCCAGGAGATGTGAGGCAATCGTCTGCTCCACTGGAGGGAGCTGAGCCTTCCCTTGCACAAACAGATCAATAGTCTGAGTGTCTGATGGGTGAGCTCGATAAATGAGACTGAACTGACACTACCATGATGGGTACGAACCCAAACCAGAATCCAAACCCAAATCCATATGTAGGGAACAGAAAACCCAAGAATAGGATTGGAAGTACTGTCAACCAGTCCAAGGCCTTGGGGAACTAAGAGCCTGAAGATCTCCTATTCTCTAACCTAGGAAGAGGGCCATTCTTTCTCTGGGGTCAGTCTGGGATGGATTCAGATGAAGGAAGACAAGCTAGAACCATCCCACCAACACTCAGTCAATACCTACTATGATTTAGGCAATGTGTTGGTCTCAGAGTACAGGAAACACTAATAGGGCATGGTTAGGAGGGGAGCTGAAATAGTTAAATAAAACAGAATTTTTAAATATTTTTAAGTGATATAAAAAATGATGAACAGTGGAACAAAACATAAAAAGGGGCACAACAGAAAATATTAAAATGTACACCTCAATGCTACTCTATTAAATATTACATTAAATATTAGTGGACTCAACCCCTCAATTAAAAGCAGAGATTGTCAGAATAAATGCAAAAGCAAGACTCAACTATGTGCTGTGTATGTTTTAAATTTAAAAAGGCATGAATAAAGATATGTTGTGCCAATATAGAAGAAGGATGGGGTGGCTATATTGGTTTCTTTTAAAGTGGACTTCAAGACAAAGAATATTATCAGAAACCAAGTAAGATATTTCATAATTATTAAGGTGTCAATTAGAAACATAATAACTATAAATACATATGCATCTAATGACAAAGCTTCAAAATATACAAAGAACATTTACAGAAATATTTGGAGAAACAGACAATTCCACAATATAACAGGAGATTTTGATATTTCTCCATCAACATCTGACAGACCATTAAGCAAAAAAAGTTAATAAAGACAGTTTAGTGGTTCACAAAGTATGGACCAGGTATCCCTGGTTCTTAAAGGATCTCCAAGAACATTATAGAGGGTCCACAAAACCAAAACTGTTTTCATAAGGTCATAAGACCTTATTTGCCTTTTCTTCTTTTAATCTGTTGTAAGTACACAGTGGAGTTTTCTGAAACCTACAAAACATGTGATATCAAAACAGATTGAAAGCAAGATCCAGCTGTCTCCTATTGAGCCTGACATTAAAGAGAGTTGTAAAAATCTAAAGCAATACCACTGTACTCACTAAATTTTGTTTTGGAAAACACAGATATTATTGTTTTTTTTGGTTTGGGTTGGGCTTTTTTTTGGTAAAACTTTAATATGTTAACAATGTATATTATGTTACATATGCCAGCATTGTTGAATTTATTATTGCTATTTTTGAAAGAAACAACTGTAGAACATACATTCTTTTCAATTCCACAAGATATAGTCACCAAGATGGAGTACATGTTGGGCCATAAAACAAATGTCCATAAATTTAAAAAAATTGAGATCATATAGAGTATGTTCTCTGTCAACAATGGGATTCAATAATAAATGAAAATTAAATCAGTGATGTGATATTTAGAAAAAATATTTGGAAATTAAACAATGCATTTCTAAATAATATAAGATAAAAGAATTAATCAGAAGATAAATTAGAAAATATTTCAAACTTAAAAATAATGAATACATAGCATATTCAAATCATGAGATGCAGCTAAAGCATTATTTGGAGGGAAACTTACAGCTCTGAGTGTATATATTTGAAAAGAAGAAAGGTCTAAAATCAGTGACCTAAGGTTGTATTTTAAGAAGACAGGAAAAGAAGAGCAAAGGATAAGTAATCCAAACCCAAATCCATATGTAGGGAACAGAAAACCCAAGAATAGGATTGGAAGTACTGTCAACCAGTCCAAGGCCTTGGGTAGAACTAAGAGCCTGAAAATCTCCTATTCTCTAACCTAGGAAGAGGGCCATTCTTTCTCTGGGGTCAGTCTGGGATGGATTCAGATGAAGGAAGACAAGCTAGAACCATCCCACCAACACTCAGTCAATACCTACTATGATTTAGGCAATGTGTTGGCCTTGGAGTACACAGGTATAAAACACAGTCTCCTCTCAATTTATATTCTCGCGGGAAGATAGAGTTAATAAGCAGTATCAACATAGTTACAAGATCGAGCCCACATGCATGGTATTTCAGGAGCATGTGATATGTGCATGCATGTGTGTTTGTATGGCTGGGCAGTCCTACAAAGGATTTTCTGAGATCCTGAACTTGGCAGGCACGCAGGGAGAGGAAACTATCAAAAGTCACACCGGCAACCCCCTACAAGGTCAACAGGGGGTGCTGGTGGGGCTCCACAGCCTCAAGACTGTGTCTGAAGTTCTCTGTACCCAAGGACCAGTAGGCATTTACCCAGGAGGGAAGCCTTTATCTACAAGGACTAATTGAGGTGCAGTAGTGTGCTCTAACCCAGGATGGCCTCTCTGAATAACTGCACAGAACACCACTAATAGCTGGTCACCACAAATACAACCCTTACTCCTTCTATTGTTCCTGCTTAGGGAATTTAACATCTCAGTAAAGCAGCATTTATAAAAGGACTACTATACATCCAAGTATTATCTGGTCTGTTTACTAGGCTGTGAGCTCATTCTCACAGAACACAGTGTGTTCCCTAGCCGACCAGGCTCTCCCCAGGTGGGCAGCCTGAGGGAGACCCCACACTCTTCAAAGGCAAGCACTTGTATTCTCTCCTTCCTAAGCCTGACCCTCCCAGCAAGCGGTACAGTACAAATGTTCCTGCTACTCTAGGGAGAGCTCAGTGCCTGTCAATTGGAAGAAAACTGGTATCTTCCAATACGACCTGAGCCTCCTTCCAGTCCTCACTCCTGTCCTCCAGACACGCCCAGCCCACGCTGCCGGGCCTCACCCTGGATCCTCAGGCTCTCTTGATACTGGATGATGAAGTACTCTTGAGTCTGCTGCAGCTTCTTCAGTTCATTCTCTGTGTCCTGCGTGACCAGTCGCAGCTCCTCAAATGTCTGGTTGATCTGAAGGTGTTTCTGGGACATGGTGTCAGCAAGACTCCCAGCAGGAGAAGTGCCCTGAGACAGATCAGAGGGGGAGTGCAGGCGGCGGTGAGCTGGGCAGGGAGGACCGCAGAGAACCTCAGGCCCTGAGCCCAGGGAAAGCGGTGCTTCTGCAGATGCAGACTATGGCCTCTTCACACAGCCCAGCAGGAGCTGCTGAGGATCTGGCCGCCACCAGAGCATCCCGAACAGGGGCCATCTAAACTCTCTTTGGAGAGGCTGGAATTCAACACACCCCAGGAGGTACCTGGGTTTTCCTACTAATGAAGATGACCCCTCATTCCACGTGCATTCATTGACCCAATGCCACAGAGAAGCAGGTGCTGGGGACCAGAGGGGAGTAAGGCTGTGGGAGCACACATCATCTGGGTCCTCACTCAAGACCTTCTCGTGAGTGAGGGGAGAGGGCAGGCCGAGCCTCTCACAGGTGGCACCCTGGAGAGCCCAAAATGAAGACACAGGAGAGGCATCCACAAGGCTGCCCTGGATCCAGTTATTCAAGTGACCTCATCTGATGTATTCCTTCAACACCTGGCTGAGAGGGAACCAGGTCTTTCTAATTAACTGTTCTCAGAATAAAATCTAAACTTCTTCCCACAGCGCCCCTGCCCCAGCTGACAGCCTGTGCCTTACCTCCACTCCCAGCTCTACCGCCGCCCAAGCACACCAGCCACTTTCTGTTCCTTGTTCACCACAAACATGTTCCGGCCTTAGGGCCTTAGCACTTGTTGTTCCATTTCTCTGGAACGTTCTGGAACCAAATCTTCCTGAGGCTGACACCTCAGCTGGCACCTTTTCAGACTGACCTTCTCTGATGCGCCAATTTATAACAGCACTGCCCTTATCTGAAAGCGTCTTGTTCTTGTATTTGTTTACTTTTGTCTCGTCTGCCTCCCTGCACTAGGATGTGAACTCCCTAAGGGCTAGGACCCTGTCCGTCTTGTGTACCACAGAATCTCTAGCTTTGGGGACTAGAACATCGGAGGTGCACAAGAACGGCTTGATGGCTTGGAGCAGGAAGGACTTCCCCCGGACCATGCCAACACCTGCATTATAGACGTGCATTTTGTAGCTAGAATTGAATTCATTTGTACATTTACACATAGCTCTGTGCTGGCAACAAGTTAAGGCACACAGCATTGTCCTGCCTGAAAGACCCCTTGTGACCTGGCTTCTGCCTCCTCTCTGATTTTACCTATTGGTGGTCCCCAGTCGGGTCCCTTCTCCCCAGGAGCACTGACCATATGCAAGCCTTCAAGTATGATAAGACAGTTCATGCCTTCTAGGCATGTCACTTTTGACTCATCATTCTCTTCCTCCCTCTTTGCCCACTGTAGTTCAGACATCCCTTTCCTCAGGACACCCCCCTGCCAGGCTGTCCCAATCTGAGTTGGATACTCTTTCCATATATGGCCCCTTAGCACTCAGCTTACCTCTAGAGAATCTATCATTGCCTGAATTCCTCCTAGGTGGGGACCAGGCTTTTATCTGTTTCTCTAGTCCTAGCCCAACATCAGACACACTGCAGGACCTCAAAAAATGTTTACTGAATGAACTGGAAAATTCCTAAAATCAGTGTCTACAACAGTAAGTTAAAAATAAATATGATCTGTGCTCCAGGCACTATTGTGTGGTCTTTCCTGTGTGATGTCATTTTATGAAATTCACTTTGCTTGATTGCAGATAATATAACATTTGCACCATTGTCCCAGCAGACATTCTATGCCTTTCTGATCTCAGAACTTCGGGGATGAGTCCTGTCCCACCGCTCTGAGCACCACCTCTCTCACCTTGCCAGCGTCAGTTAGCCTGACACAGATCTTAGCTCCATTTCTCCTCACAGTCACCACCAGAAGACATTTCTTTTTCTGGCCCCAGCACCCTTATTGGATGACAAATATTTTCCTGTTGATTTGTGATGTCATCTCTGACACAGGTTGAATTTCCATGTGTGTGTGTGTGTGTGTGTGTGTGTGTGTGTGTGTGTGTGTCTCTGTGTGTGTATGTGTGTCTCTGTGTGTGTGTCTGTGTGTGTGTATGTGTGTCTGTGTATGTGTGCCTGTGTGTGTGTGTCTCTCTCTGTGTGTGTCTATGTGTGTGTCTGTGTGTGTGTCTCTGTGTGTGTGTGTGTGTGTGTGTGTCTGTGTGTTGTGTGTCTCTGTGTGTGTCTGTGTGTGTGTCTCTGTGTGTGTGTGTGTGTCTGTGTGTGTCTGTGTGTATGTCTGTGTGTGTGTGTGTGTGTGTGTGTGTTTAGGGCTTCCTCTTCCATTTCATTTGTCTGTTTGTCTATCCCCGACCCCAAATAGTACCTCATTTAAACCTCACAATAACCCATAAGGTAGGCACTACTATCCCCATCTACAGTAAAAAACAAAACAAAACAGGCTCAGAGAGGTTAAATAACTTGCTCAAGCTGCACAGCTAACAAGAGGTTAGAGCCAGGGACTGAAGCCAAGGGTCACTCCACCTGCATGGAATATTGCCTCTCACACATGCCCATGTTTCTTGTTCCTCTGGTGCTCTCTCATGCCAGTGTTTACAAAACCTTCATCTGGAGAGAAAGGTGGGTAGAAGGACTCCCAGTTCCTCTCCCCACACCCACGGGACACTCACATTGTTGGCTTCGCGGACCAGCCTCTGTTCATTGTACAGAATGTGCCGGATGCAGCGGACCAGCTCCATGGGGCAGCGGTCATATGTGTTCTGAAAGAATCCAATGGCAGTTACCAGTGGCCACCCTCTGCTTCCACCATGCCTGTTGTAGTGCCATGCCCACCCCTTCCTCTCCTCCAGCCCCCTGCCTCAGCTTTCCGTGGGACACCTCAGGACCTGTCCCCAGACACCTCTCTCTCTTCTTGATCCAATCCCTCCCACCCCCAGGTCCTCATATTTGGTTTGCAGTGCATGAGAAACCCATGGTTTCCAAAGCACTTCCATTCTTGACCTCTTTTGACTTTAACATCCTAGAAACCCTGTGACATAAGCAAAAATTATTACCCGCATTTCACAGATGGGAAAACTGGTACTCAGAGAGATTAAGTACTTGCCCAAACAAGTGAGTGAGCAGATGACTTGAGACTTGGGGCATCTCATGCCAAAGTTAGGGTACTTTCCAACACACTCCTGGCCCTGGGTACCTATTTTGCTTCCCCCTTCCCCCCAGGCTTCTCCTGTTTCCTCTATCTTCTGAGATGGAGTTTTTATTTCCCCAAGACTCCACTGCTTGTATTTAAGAAGGGCTAAGAAATACAAGTGAGTTCCAATAAATGCTTGACTATGATTACCACTCACACCCGTTTCCTGCTTCCACAAAAACTTCCTCTCTCCCCTGTACTCCTCCACCCCACCCCATGTGAGGGAGAAACTACATCTTACATCTAAACCCTTAATTCAGGGCTCCTTTATCCAGCTCTGGCCCCCAGGGAAACTCTCCTTTCTCCCACTCCACTTTGGGGGATCCCCTACCTTTCAAAGAGCCCCAAGAGGGATGTCTTCATCCCTCTTGAATACAGGTTGCTTCATTCCCTCATTTCTAGAATCTGTCGGTTTTCTTTTTACAATAAAGGAATCTTGACTCAGGCTGCACCATCCCTTCAGCTAGATCTGTTCAGAATGCCCTTTCACCCATCCCCCTTCTCTTGGGGACAAACACGCCTCACCCCTTGCTTTGTAATATGTTAAAGGAATCAGACAGGTCTGACTTAGAAAGAGGGGGTGGGGGAAATTGAAGCACAGAAGAGTTGCCGATAAATTCAGAGTCACATAGTGAGTCAGTGGCCAGGCAAGGAAAAAAATAAGGGTTCTGATGCTGGAAAGAGAAGGTAGACATTGTTTCCCTGCAGACGGCCTGGCATTCACACGCACCTGGAGCTGCGTGGCATAGTGCCCCAGCTTGATCTTCAGTAAGAACCCATCTTCCCCCACCTGGTGCTCTGCCTTCTTCTGCAGCTCCTGCACTAGGCCCTCCAGGAGCTGGGTGGCCTGGGCTTGGTCCTGGGGATTGTCCAGGTCGATGGCATCCCTTGAGGCAAGGCAGAGGAGAGAAGCCTACTGTGGCACCTCCTTGGGCAAGGAGCCTGGGGAGGGTGTGGAAATCCCAGGCTAATAACTAAAGGTGCTTCAGAGCCCATAAGACTTGTTTTTGATAGCTCCGCAGTCTTCTGAGTCTAGAAACATCCTCTCTCCTCTCCCAGGCTCCCATTTTCCTGTTCCCCTTTCCCAGGGACACTGCCTCTTCTGCACCAAGAGGTACACACAGGACCAAAATCACACCAAATCACGAAGAGGAGACCTGAGGGCTGAGGGGCCTGGATGGTAGGGACCCGCTGAGGAAGCTGCCGGTCAGGGGCACCTACCACGGCTGGCTCTCTATCCACTGTGCTAAGTAGTGCCGGACCTCGATGGGGAAATGCTGCCCGTATAGCACCTGCATCTGGCGCAACGCATCTCCCTGCAGCTGCTGGGCCTGGATCCAGCCCGCCATGTCTGTTCACCTGGCGCGAGCAGAGGGCTGAAGTAGAGGCGTCTCTCCGCATAGGCAAGGCCTGGGCCTCCCCTGGCCCTGCCATGCCCACCCATCCCTGGACCGCGGTCAGGCCAGGCCCCTCCCCTCCCACGGACACGCTTTCCTGTGCGGGAAGAAAGATGGTGAGGAGGGGAAGGCCGCTCTTCCCTCCAACAAGGAACCCGCTGAGGCTTGGGGAGGGGCTCCCGAAAGTGAGGTGCCCTCCCTGTCTTCCTCTCCCCTCGCCCCATCGGGGCTTCCCCAGAAGGGGGGTTGCTAGAAAACTGAAAGAGAAACTCGACCGCGGAGGCCCACGGGCCCTCTGGGGAGGGCTGCAAGAATCCCCCTACCTTGCCTCGAACCCAGGTTCCCAATTTCTGGGAAGGGGGGATATTCCAGAGCCAAGTTGGGGCAACGCCACCGAAGGCTACCACTGGGCGGCTCGGTCCCTGCGGGCACGCGGCTGTTAACAGGGAGAGAGGGTCGGAGAGACAGTCGCTACCTCTCAGGCTGCGCCCCCCAGCCTTGCCCCGCTGTCTCCCACTGCCCAGCCCGACAGCGCCCCCTACCCACTGCGGGCGAGGACGGCGCCCACCCTCGGCCCTCCCTCCAGTTGCGTCCAGCGTCCAGCGTCCCTCCTCCGCGCTGCGCCGAAACTCTCTCCCGGGCCCGGGGACCGTTCTCTGCACCCCGCCGGCCGTCGGGCTCCGAGTCCCGGGACGCGCGGCCCGGCGCGGGAGTCGAGTCGCGCGCCGCCCGGGACGCGCCGCCGGGCCACCCACCTGGTCGCGCCGAGCGGTCCCGCGGCGGGGCTGCCTCACCGCCCCGCGGCTCTCGCTCCCGGCCGGGGTCCCGGCGGCGGCGGCTGTTACTACAGGAAGGAGCAGAGAGCAGCGATTTCCTCCTCAAAGGTCAGCTGCCTCCGATAGACCATACACAGCGCGCGGGCTCTCGCCAACACCCCTCCCAGCCTCTCGCTCCCTCCCTGCCTCCGCCCTCGGTCGTTGGCGCCCGGGCGAGTGCGCGGCGGCGGCCGGGACAGCCAGGCTGGGCGGCGCCGGGCGTGGGGGCTGCCCCGACGGTGGGGTCCCCCGGGAGTCCCAACCAGCGATCGCCTGCGGCCGGGGACCGTGGCGGGCTGGAGCGCAGGAGTGGCCGCAGCATGGGGGTGGTAGGGCCGGGAAATCCCGGGCTCTGGAAATCCCAAGCCAAGGCCTCCGTTTTTTCACCTGTAAGAAAGGGAGAAGGGGAGGGTTGTAGTAGCTGGAGATGCCTTCCACCTCTGCGTTTGTCATCTTTTGAGTCTCTGGATTTAAAAAGTAAATGTGTTGCGCGTTGTGTTTATGTGGGTTGGGGACACAGCTTCTGTGACCTCAGAGGCAAAGCCCTAAGGAGGGGAGACAGGGGATTCCAGAGAAGCCAGCTCACCACCACGGCCCCACCTCCCTTCCTTCCATCACTCCCACCACCCTGCACTCACCCGCTGCAGCGGACACAGGAAAGAACCTTAGCAGTCATGTTTCAAACTCCCCGAAATTTTGCAGATAAGAAATGGAAGTCCAGAGAGGGGAAGGGGCTTGCCCAGGGTCACACACTGGGCACATGGCCTAGTCGGCAGGTTATGATCCATAAATGATCCTGCCCTCTGTTCACCCAGCCCAGTCACATTTGAGGCTGGTCCTACCTTCTAGAAAGATCCAGGGAGGGCTGTCTTGAATCCTCACAAGCCCATGACTGGCTATAGGCCTTGCCAGAGCAGGGACCACCCTTCCTGAGCCTTGCCTGGGTCACGGCTCCTCTCTGAGGATCCCCTAAGGAGCCTGCAGAGTTGGGCAAGGCCGGACTGGAAGCCTTCCATCCCCTTTACCCAGCTTCCCTCTCCTCTGGGCCTCCCCTCTGCCTGGCAGCTGGTATTGGCAGCAACAAGGAAGGGCCAGCTGCGCCAAGACCGAGTGTCCTGCAGGGAATCATTCTCCTCCCCCTCCCTCCTTCAGTCCCTCTCTAATGCCTTCTTGGACCTGCCCTTTTCCCTCCGTTCCCTACCCCCAACTGCTCCCCCACCTTCTTGCCCCTTAGTACCTCTCTCACTTTCAGAGAAAATGTTTGTTTTTTTTAACTTCAGAGAAAAACTGAAGTTAAAGGCTACAGAAGCTGGAATGTCTAGGTCCCTTACGTGCATCTATGTGTGGCCACAGTCTCTTAGTTGGCAGAATCTCTTAGAGGAAAGCAGTGTAAAGCTGTAAGGGGTTTTGGAAGGACTGAGGAAACCTTGCTCTTTAGACATCCCACAGGGGAGCCCTAGGGAGGAGGAAGCACATGCCTGTCTCTCCCTACTTCCCCAGCTTCATGCAATGAATTTGGGAGGGTCAGACACACAGAGCTAGGAGGTCACTTGGAATGAGAGGCAAGTATCAGAGCTGGAGGCAACTGTAAAGATGATTCTGTAAATGGGGAAACAGAGTCTGAAGAGGGGAAGTGACTTGGCCAGTGTCACACAACCTGTCAGTGGCAGATCCCAACCCATTTTCACAAGGTGGGCGGGTCCACCTTGGCTGTTGTGCATTCAAGCCTCTTACTTCATGGGTTGGGTGAGTCAGTCAATGGGAGCAGATTCCTTGGGTTTCCAGGTCCTCTCAGACATGTCTGGAGGGCAGAGGACCACCCTGGCCATGGACCCACACCTGGATACCATAAAGGGGGATATGGGAGTGCCAGCTCCAGAATGGGGGCCCTGCCTGCCTGCTTCCAGGCAGCCACCTCTCCAGCCTTCTTGCCAGGGCCTGCAGGGGCCTGCTGCTCCAGCTGGCAGCCCCACCCACCAAATATCGGGCTGGGCTGGGCCTGGCCACAGGGTAGGTAGTCCTGCATCCTAAAAAGCTAGCTTTGAAGTGCCAGTGAACAAGACTGGAGGGGTTGGCCTGACAGGATGTGCCCCAGTGCTTTCAGAGCCTTCATGTGCTGCCTGCCTCCTGACCTTGTCTCAAGGGGGTGGCAGCCATTCCCCTGGCCAATCTCTGGCTCTCTTCCCATTTGGGCCTTTTCTGTGCAGCCCTGAATCCCAGGGTCCTTCACTGTACATTTTCTTCTCTTGTTTTTTGTTCTCCTCCTCCTTTTGGTTCCTTCTCTCTAGGTCTCTGCCTGGTTCTCTGATTGATTCTGTGGGAGTTTCTCTCCATTTCTCAGAGCCTCTGGTCTCCCTTTAGATGCAGTGAGGAGGAGGAGGAGCTTTGGAGCTTTCCCAGGATGGGCAAAGGCCACCCAAGGGAGGGAGCAGGGAAGGGTGTCAGAGCTGGGTTGGGGGCAGAGGTGACTGTGGTCATGGCTCTGGATAACACAACTACCCGGAGATGTCAAATTGGGGGTTTCTTTTTGCTTTCAGTCCCCTGGCTTGGTCTCTGTTATTTCCCACCACAAAGCACCCTAGTGCTTTTAGAGGCCCAGACTATAGAGGAGAAAACTGAGGCCTAGGAGATGGACTTCAGGATGATCAGAAACATCCTAGGGTCTGGACTGAGCTAGGGTCCCAGGCTGGCCACCCCTAAAGGCCCCTCATTCCCAATTCTAAGCCAAGGCATTAAATGGGGAGTAAGGAAGAATTTTTTAAAATCCTATGGGAATACATTACCCTAAAGAGGACAGACCATATTTTATAACATATTTAGTTAGCACGTGATGCACGTATCTTGAATTGAATGGTGGCACATTCACGTACAAACATGGTTATATTCTTCAACTTCACTGATCCCTTGCAACAGCCTTGAAGGTAGGCAAGGCCAGAATCATCCCTGAAGTCCTGGAAAGAAGCCTGTCTGCAGCTGTATGGCCCGTGAATGCACAGCTGGCGCCAAGGTATGAGCTGCCCGGGCCTATGGGTAGTGTCTCAGTCCAACCTTTCTCGACTTGCACACAGAATGAAGATGTCCACCTTGGCCAGGCTTGCCCGTAACTGTCCTGTGGCATGCAGCATGGCATCTCCCTGCCAGTCTTCTGCCCTGTTGAAGGAGGCAGGGTGACCTATGAGTTATATGAAGGTGGGTCCGAGTTTATGGGGGAAACAGAATTATCACAAGTCCCATCTCTGGCCTTGCCTTGGAGACCAGGTGAGCCAAGCCGTTGTTGCCGATGTTCCTACCCTGGGGAGAACAGATTGAGGTCACCTTGACCTAACTGTCCCAGGGGGCGGAGGGAGGTGGTACAGAGATGCCTTTGTTGCCTCTGTGCCAAGTCCCTTCTTCAAGGAGAGTTCCTGTTGTGTGGGAGCCAGAGGGGAGGTGGGGTGGGAGGGAAGAGCCTTCCCTAGAAAGCTGGAGGCATTCCAGGAAGTATCTCTGCACCCTGCAGAGGCAGAAGAGCTGCAGGCCCTGGGCTCCTAACTGCCTGCTTCACCCCACCTTGTTTCTGCTGGGACTGTCCACCTCCACTCCAGCCCCGTCCGCAAGGCTCCTGGAAGGAGGGCCACAGGCCCATGCTTGGCATATATGGCATCCCTCGGCCACATGTCGCTGCTTCTTCCAGTCTCCTACCCTGGGGGCTCCCTGTAGAAATGTTGCCCCACTCTTGTCCACGCAGGACAAGGAGGGTATGTGTGTGGTGAGGAACTGTGTGAATCTGGCAGAAGGAGGGAGCTGCTGGGTCCCAGGTGAAGCCTGTCCCCTTTTTCTGCCTCTGTCCCCTGTCCTCTACCACTCTTCAGGGAAGTCAGTTTACAGTGAAGTCACAAGAGAACATAAGGCCACCAGCCTGAGGCAGAGCAACTATCCCATTTCTAGGAATAGTGCAAGGGGAGGAGAAAACCCTGCCTCCCTTTGTCCAGCTACACTGTCCACCTGCCTCGGGAGAGGCACTTGCAGGACAAGGAGAGGAGGGGGTACAACATCTGTGCTGAGCACACATTTTCTCCCCAGTCAGGGAAGGAAGGAGGCCCCCCTTTGCTCGTCCTCTTCATGGCCCTGGAGCCTGATGAGAGAAAGGAGAGGTGGGCCACAGGCACGGGGCTGGGCAGCTGGGTGGGACTGGCTGCTGTCCTGAGCAGCCCTGGCTCCCAGCCTCATCCATGATAACTACCAGGCCCCTCTTCCTGCTGAGCTAGTTTCTCCTACTTCCAGTCCAACAAGCCATCTTTTGTGCCTTAGCCAGCCCAGTATCCGACCTGGGCCCTCCTGGGGTTGTGTGGGAGAGAGCTTTCCTTCTCTGCCATCCCCACCACTCTGCTACTTTTCCTTTGTTATGACCAGAGGTGGTTCAGAGGTGGTTCCCTTCTCCCTGTCTCTGTTTCACATTGTTCCCTGGTTTGTTACAAGCACACATGCACCCATGTCTCCCCTTCCTACTCCCCTACTACCAGCCTCCAAAATTGGCTACCCAACCCCAAGAGCAAGTGGGGGACATGAGGACAAAACGAAGAATGGGCCAATGCCGCATCCCTTCCTGCTGCCTCCTGGCCTGTCTTCATTTTCTGCTGCATCTGAGCTTCAGCCATGCTGCTCCCCCAGTGCACTGGCCTCTCTCAACTCCAAGCTTTTGCCCGCTCCATTCCACCTACCCAGATGCCATTCTTTCCCTGACCTGGTGACCTCATCTCTCCTGGGGTCAGTGTGGAGTAGAGAAAAATGCAAAGGCTTTGGAGTCCTAAGGACCTGGTGCAAACCCCAACTCTGCTAAGTGACCTCAGTTATGTGAGTCTGCTTTTTCTGAGTCGAGTGAGCTCCTTTGTAAAAGAGCAGCAAGATCCACCTATGCTTCGAAGGACCTTGGCCAGTGAACCGGGCATTTTCTCCTCTGCACACCTGTAGTGCTTCAGTCCTCTAAAACAGGCCTCCTCCTAAGGCTCTGACTAGTTGCCTAAAGGGCTGCATCCCACTGCTTGGTTCATAAAGCAGCTTCATAGATGTTTGTTGGATTAATGAAGGTCCCCTAACAGGACAGGGCTTCCTGAAGCTCTGACACTCTAAGGGCTCCCTTGCACTAGTGCAGACCCCTGTTTCTCTCTCACACGTCCTGACCCACAGCACCCAAAAGGCTCTCTCCTCTGCCACCCTGGCCTCTCCTTTTCCACCCTTTCCAGCAGCCTCATCCTTGCCTGGCTCGCTTTTGGGTTCTTAGCACACACACACCCCACCCACTGCCGGTGTTGGCCCAGTCCTCTCTGGATAGAGCAGCACTGCCTCAGGTCTCCGAGTGAAGGGCAATGGTGGCCCTGTCCCAGGGGGCAAGGTAGGGGGGCCCTTGGACTTTCTAGAGAGCCACCCCTCTAGCTCTGGCCGGAAAGGAGCCCAGGCAGGTGAGGCACATGGGAGCAGGACAGAGAGTATGTGAGCATCTCCTGCAAGGACCTGTGCATCTATCACTCGCTTCCCAGCTCCTGACTGCAACGTCCCACTCCCATGCCCACCACCCTTTGGCCCAACGAGCTGACTGGGATTGAGCTGAGGAAAGGAAAGACAAAATGCTCATTTATCATGTGCCTTCTGCAAGCCAAGCAGGAGGCTTACTTTTATAAACACTATCTACTTTTTTCCTTTTAAAAAACTTTCATTCCCTTAATATTTTAATAGGTAGTACAGCACATGCTACAAAACTTAGAAGACTCAAAGTGGTGAAAAGTTAGTTTCTGTCCTTTCCTGTCCCCCAGGTCCCCTCTGCAGGGGCAATGGCCACAGTTACTCCCAGAGAGATCCTATGCATTTATAAACATATATTACACTTTACCTCCTGTGACTTACTTGGGAGGGAAGCTAAGGCCCTCAGAAGAGTGAAGTGCTTCGACTAAGGTCACACAGCTGCTGAGTTTGGCAGAGCTGGGATTTGGAACCAGATCTAAATGAAGAACTCAGCTCTTCACCGCCCACGCTCTGGCAGAAGTAAGCCCTGGCACGGACAGAGCCCCTCCTGCGCTGTCGGCTGTGACAAACCTCCATTCTCAGGCCCTGGAGATCTGGGGTCTCTGCCTTTCTGTCTGGTGAATGTCAGATGCCTCCTCCCCATGGCTTTAGGGGCCTGTATTGACTTAAAAGGGAGGAATCATCCTCCTAAGGAAGAAGGGAAGTTCCCACAAGTGTCCTTCCTCAGCTACTGTGCGGCCGGTGGTCCACCCGGGTTTAGCGTGACTCCTAGGTTCCAGAGAGTTCTGGAGAGAGAAGTCACATGAGCATGGGTCTCTGGCTACAGGGATTGTGGTTTCAATTACGTTTCCAGAAAATGGCTTCATGATCTCCCCGTGGCTGGGCAGGGCTGAGGGACGATGTGAAGTGGGGGACCTCTTGTCTGTGGTAGCCATGTGCTTGTTCACGGGAGCGAGGGCAACAGTCAGTCCCTGGGTGAGGGTGGGCTGGCTGTATGCACAAGGGCTGCCCACTAGACTTCCAGGCTTCCACTCACGCCTCTCTCTCTCCTGGGTCAGGCCGAGGTAGGCTGAGAGATGACACGGGTGTCTCTCTCTAGCAGACGCCTTTATGTCTGCAGGTGTGTCTGACCTTTCTATGTGGGCTCTCTGCAAGGTCTTTCTAGGACTCCTGTGTCACGTCTCAGTCTGGTATCCCCTCAACTTAGGAGACTTATGTCCCTGACTCCTGGAGAAGAGGGTCTCACCTCATCTAAATTGGCAAGTAGGGGGAGGTAGGTGTTGGACCGTTCTTCCTGTCTCAACTTGACACTTCTTGTTTTGCTGAGGTAGTCACCCGGAACATTCCGTCCTTCGTCTTTTGTGCACACAGCCAGCCAGATCTAGCTTGGTGCCTAGTGGTCATTCAGAGGTGTGCTATGAGATGCAAGAATGAAGAGCTGTCCCTGCCCCGCCCTGTAGGGCATTTAAGCCAGTGCCCTGTGGCTGTTCACAGCAGCAGCCAAGGCAGCTGGACTGAGTCCTAGATCTGACTGGCCCTAGGAAGAGAGATGTAAATCTTAGCTGTTAGTAGAAACAACAGTAAGAGTTAACAGCTCTGTAGTGCTTTATCCTATGCAAAGAACTTTACATGCATTAGCTCACTTAATTCTCACAGCAATGCTATGAGGTAGGTCCTATTACTATCAGCACATTAAGGTGAGGAAATTGAGGCAGAAAACTTGCTCAAGGCCACATGGCTGAAGGAGTTGACAGAGAGTCTGGTTTTAGATTCTTGTGCTCTTAATTACCACACAGTCCTCCCAGTTTCCATTGCTATTCCTATAGTGTAAGGTTTATTCCTCAGATATTTACTGGGTGTCTGCTCTGGGCTGGGCACAGGGTGGGAGGATTTAAAGGCGAATGGAGCACTCACTTTGGCAACACCCATACTAAAATGGTATGATACAGAGATTAGCATGGCCTCTGTGAAAGGATGACACAAAAATTTTTGAACATTCCATAGTTTTTTAAAGCAAAAAAAAAAAAGAAAAGGTGAGTGGAATAGAGTGTGCCATTGTGCATAGAGAGAAAGTAAGAAATAGTCCTTTAATGGGAGGGGTGCCATAACAGAGGCATGACCAACATGTCGGGGTGAGTGTGGGGGAAATAGGGAGGGTGAGGAGCAAATGTTACTGAAGTGCAGGCATCACGGGGGTAGAACATTCCAGGCAGAAGGAACAGCATACGTGCAGGTATGAAACCTTACAAGAAAGAGAAAGTGTGCACCAGTATCAAAACATCTTGGATAGTGACTGTCCAGAGGGGTGCCAGAGAGCTCATGGCTGGTGTTTCTGTCCAGCTTCCTGCTGTGGCCTCCAGGCGCTCTGTACCTACTCTGTGCAAAGCACTGTGCCAGGTATTGGCCCCGAGCGTGGGATTGGAACAGTTGCCTGGGTGAGGGAGGACTTTGTGATCAGCTGTATACGCAAAAATCTTTGTGGCTCCTGTAATTCTGGGGATGAAGGGAAGGCTGCTGGGGAGAGCTGCCAAAGGAGGATTATGGGAGAACTTGGGGACTTACAGATCGTGGTCATCTCTGGACATGAAAATTTTCAGCCTGTAGGGAAGCTCTGTGTGTATGTGCAGGGTCCTTCTCCCCTTTCTGCCCCTGCAGCTGGAGATCTGACATGACTTGTTTCGGAGCTGGCCCTTGGAGGGTTGCCAGGGAAACGGTTGGCCAGCTCCAGAGATGTAACCAGAGGAGAGAGGAGAGGAGAGGAGAGGGAGTGACTCAGGCTGCCTTCTCAGACACTGCACCCCCTCTCCATTACGAGATAAAGTCTTTCAGAGACCCCTTATCCCTGGATCTCACAGAGGTGATCCTGCTTCTTCATCCTTCTCTGGATAGAGCAGTCAATCCCTCCCGCAGGTGGGAGCTAGCAAGCGTCCCCAGGGAGGGGAATAGTCTCAGACTCCCTTCTACCCGACAGATTCTCTCTAGAACAGTGCACGGATCCAGTAGGCCTGGGCGAGTGTAAACTCCCGCTGTGTCCATTCAGACTTTCTGCCCGACCGGGTCTTAAGAGGCAGTCCTTGCTGAAACACCCTCCTGGGAGCAAACCCGGGATAATTATTGATGGGGCAGCGGTGGACTTCTGACCTGCGCCTGGGAGGGACAGGCCCCTGAACGCGGGCCTCAGCCCGGGGCGAGGGAGGTGGGCGGGCCGTGCAGGGGGCCAGCGACCACAACCACGGCCGTCGGCCGGCGCCCTGCTGGTGGCAGCCGGCTACCCAAACAAAGCAGCATGCGCTCGTGGCCCGCGGAGCCGGCCGGGGAGCCGAGTGCGGAGGCCACCCCACCTACGCGGGGAGAGGCTGCGCGCGGCGCCCGCCCCCCGGGCGCGCGGAGGGGGTTCCGGGTCCCTCCAGGACCGCGGAGCCGGGCCGAGGGACCACGGGCCCGCGAGCGCGCGCCGGGCGGAACCAGGAAGCGGCGCGCCCCCGCGCGCCAGGGCCTCCGCGGCAAGCGGCGCGCGCGCCCCCGTGGGCCGCGGCGCGAGGAGAGTCGGCGGCCGGAGCCGTCACCCGGGGCGGGGACCCTGCTCAGGCGACTACGCGCGGCGGCCCGGCGGAGGGAGGGAGCGAGCGAGCGAGAGGGCGCGAGGCAGCCGCTGGGGCCAGAGCGGCCGAGCGAGGTAGGAGCCGCCGGGCGAGCCCTGCGCTCGGGGCCGGGGGAGAAGGGCCGGGGAGCCCGCCCGGGCGGTGGCCTCGCGCCCCGGCCGCCCAGCCGCACAGCAGGGCCGCGCCGCCGCCATCGCTCCCCGGCCGGGAGGCAGCCGTCGTGGCTGCTCGCGGGCTGAGGGGCGGCGGGGGGCGAGGGGCCGGGGCGCGCGGGGGGCGCCGTGCGGAGCCGCGGCGTGGCGGGAGGAGGCGACAGCCGAGGCTGTGCGTGCGCGGGTGTCTGGTGGGCGTGGGAGGGAGCCGGCGCCCACCCCGAGGGCCGGAGGGGGCTGCTGTCGCCACCTCACACCTTCGTGTTGCAGTTCCAGGTTGCCTCTGCCGCCTCCTCGCTTTTCCTCCTTTTTTCAGAAGAGGTATCTGCGGCCCCCGGGGGTGGGATGAGCTCGGGGGTGCCCGGTGGGGTCGGGGTGTCAGCAGAGCCTCAAGGAACAGTGCCTTATAAGGAGTCAGGACAACAAACTCGAACATTTCGATAAGGCTCTGGGCTGCGGGATCCCACATCAGGACCCGCCAGGCCCGGGCCCGGGCTTGTGGCAGGGGATGCAGCGTGCTCTTTTTTTTTTTTTTCTAGCCGGGAAGAAAGTAAAAAAGGGCTCCTGGTGGCGGGGTTAGATAGGGAGAGTCGGAAGGGAGTCGTTGTGTCACAAAAGCCGGTCCGAGACTAAAGGAATCTGGCATGACGGTCAGGCTGATCGAAGAGGAAAGAACTTGTGTGGAGCAAGAGGCGTTTGCAAACACTTGTAGCCAGCAAGTGATGGAAAGGCGAAGAAAAACAAGCGCCAGTTTTGGGGAGGATGGGATTAATGAAAGCCGCAAGAATTTAAAGGCAAAAAGAGACAGTGATCCTCTTTTTTCCCCAAAGTTCTTCTTCATGTCCCCTATGATCCTGCCATACTCTTGTATCAAATAAATAGTGCTAAAAGTGGGCCCGTGAATGTTAGGACTAAGGACCCCGGCGATTATACTACATTTTTTAATTGTACAAATGAGGAAACTGAGGCCCACGCCGGTGGAGTAAGTGTCCTGCTCAGTTCACACAGCTGTTCAGTAGTTCAGGGATTGAAATGTCATTTTGAGGACTCTCGGATCAGTGCTCTCCCCAAAACATAGTGAAGTCATAGATCTTTGCCTAAATACAGTTCCATAAATTGTCTCTGAAATGTCCTTGGAGAATGCCCCTTGAAAAGGCAAGTGTGTCACCAAATTATTGAACTGATCTTAGGTCATTTTTTCAAGTCTTCAAATGAAGTTTATCGTCTGCTTGTATCTTAGGTTTCCAAAGTGATTGGATAGCCGCCTGGGCCATAATAAGCTTTCAGCTGTTGAGTATATTTTATCTAAAATAATTTTGTTATCATTCAATTAAGAGGATAAAAGTTTGCCTCAGCATTCTTCTGTTATTGTTCATTTGTTTATAGTCATTAGCTATAGTTCTAGAAGAGGATGTCTTTTACTTAGTGTGCCTTTCATGTTTTTTTCTAATTTCATTTTGTAACACTATGAATATTAGATCAGTTCGGATCATTTCAAATGGTGGAATCCTGTTGATTGTCTTTGTTTCAGAGCTTCAGGGTTTTCGTTTGTTTTCATATCAGTTTCCATCTCATGAAGATGACAGTTAGAATTGGTCTTGTAAATGTGAGAAGGGGCTGTCGAATTCAAGAAAAATTTATTACTTGGCAATTTGTGGTTCTGTCAAGTTTAATTAAAACAACACACTTTTTGGTCAGGTAAGGTTATGGAGTAGATTCCTTGTTTTCTGTAGCCTTTGGAAGATGAAAGTTGCAAGCACCTGTTGGAGACATGGGAAAGAGTGGAGAGATCTTTTTTTCAAAAAGCAAAACATCAGAAAAAAAGTTGATTTCTATCACCAGCAGTTTGGTCATTGCATAACTTGGAGCTAAACTGCACAAAATCTTTGCTGTCTACCCAACTAAATAAATTTTTCTACCTTCTCTCTAGTCCTTTTTGGTGTTCACATTTCTGCCTATGGCGTATTACTATGGATTGTCTGTAGAAAGTTAAGCTGGATGTGTTCCTTAAACAGATACTTCGTGATACAGATGATAGAAGGGGAAAAAGTGCTATCATTGTTTGGTGTGTTACAACATAAATATTTTGGTCAGCACTTCCTATTGTGTTCCAACTTCTCATTTCATCTTCACTTTCTTACTCTCAATTGATTTTTAAAGATTTTTTTTTACATAGAACCACATCAAGACTAGCAAAAAGTATCATTTACTGCTCTTTTGGTACTTATGTCAGTTTTTTCAAGTTATACTAGTGTCAGTATTCAGATTATTTGTGATTTGTGTTAGATTTGTATTTATGAATGTGCTTCTGATGGTTCATTTGGCTTGTTTTTGTGTAGATAGATGATACCCATAGTCTTAGACTAAAAGGAAGATGTTATAAATAGGTAAATAACATGCTCAAGATTAGATTGCAGGTTGAAGGTGGGATCAAGGAAGCTTAACTCTTCTAATGCCCCACAAATACGTATAGGGTATTTGCAAATTTCTGGATGTTCTACCTACCAGTGACACAGTTTTCCTTCTATTAGAGTGTAGGTTACTACATTATTCCTACGTAAGGAAGCAAAAAAACAAAACAAATCCCTCCGGTTTTTGTTAATTTGTTTTGAACATTTGAAACTTATTCTTCTGAAATGTTATCTGACAATTCCAGATAACTGAGCGATTCAGAAGAATATCCTTTTACTGCATAATAAAGTATCAACACACTTTGTGGAACTTCTCAATAAACGTAATGTTTAAAGAAGTTAATTCTAAAGTATTACTGTCCCTATAGTGTTTAAAGTAAAAAAGTTTTCTTTAAACCTGAGCTTTGTTAATAGAAGTGTTCTAAAATCAGAAGTATTTTTTCCCCCAGCAATGTTGGAAACACAACAGTTTTATGCTAATTTCTGGGAATAAGAAAGTCAGATTTAACAATCTAGTTTCCATTGATCAGTTTTTTTTGTACCTTTAAACCATGAGCATCACAATGATAAAAAATGTATTTTTTTGGAAAATTGCATTCACTCTTAGTTATCATTTCCTCATTTTAAGTAGAATGTTCACATTAGTTGTTTTCTTATTAATGATGATCCTTTACTACTGAAAAACCTGAGTCAGTTTGGAGAAGATTTTACATGTCTAAATCTATGCTGTTTTTACTAATCAAAGAGAGGAGTAATTTACAGGTGTCAGATTTTTAGTTGGTTGAATGAGACCCTCAGTTTTGGTGGTTTCAGGGTTTTAGATGATGTTTTATTACTTTTGTTAGTTTTGGTCACACCCATGACTTCCTTGGAAGGTATGTTTGAGGTTTGGTTTCCTTTTTTTTAAATGGTAATATTGGGGTGGGGGGTGCTTCCTGTTTGTATTTTCAAAATTAGGTCCACATGTCATCCTTCTTGTAGCGTCATCTTTTTCTTTTAAACATACACAGACGAGCATCAGATGCCATGTGGTTTGTCTTTGACCCATTGTACTCCCTCATGACACTTTTACTGAACTCTCAGCCTGAATACCCAGTTGGGAGGGCAAGACATTCCTGAATCCTTTCCCAACTCTCTGCAGGGTTTAGCAGCTTTGGAAGGAATTTTAAAACACAACATCAACAAAGGCACAGTGAACAGAAAATTGGGGCTCCTGCTATCTGTTTCCTCCCAGGTACCTAGAAAATGTATGGCACTGAGATAGAGTTGAAACGTATTACGTGGAGCCTTGAGTCATTGTCAGAAGAGTTTTAAAGAGGGGTTGCCGTAGGTTTATATAATATAGAGCCCCAATGTTAAGCAGTGACTGTAGCAGTTTTCTGACCTCACCTAAAAGCCATAGAGAATTTCACAGAGGAGTTGGTCTTAATGAGCTAGGAGAAATTTAGGGTCCGGGGATATAACTTTGGAGGAACCACCCTTAGCCATAAAACTCTCCCTTGACCCTCCTGGATAAATTTTACATGATAGGTCACTTTAAATATAAATGTTGGAGTATGAGTTATGGGGAGCTGAGGAGAAGTACATTCTAGAATATGGACAGTGTTTCAGTGATTGAAGCAAGTGGTCTTTTCCTGGTAGTCAACTAACTTTATTCTAAGAAGTGTAGTGACTAAAGAGACTCCCGATTAAACTGGCATTCAAATAATTTTGCAGTTTAGGGGTAGTTTATCTCTCCTAAATTTTCTTTTGGATCACATTACTGAAGGCAGCATTAGCATGTTGCATGTATAAGCACCTGCTATTTGCAAATGATGGTAATACTTAGAAAACCTTGACTTCCCATTCCCTCCACCCTCAATATTCAAGAAAAGAGGACTTTTAATTTGTCAAATACTGGATATTTCCTTCTTTGGTTTTTTTCATAATAATTACATCCATTCCCCATGAATAATAATACTATTAAGATGAAGAATATATTGATTGATTGAAAAAGAACATTTATTTTTTATAAGTCAGTTTGCAAAATCCATGCCAACACTCAGTTTATTCTCCCATTGCCTTTGACACTCTTTTTAAAAATTTTCCAGATTTCCATTATGAAGAGAAATATCTCTATATTCTATGCACTTCTAGCTCTCTGAGGTACTTGTGCTGACTCATTTTTTAAATTATACTAAGATATAGAGTATGGTTTGAGAGCAGTAATGAGATTCTCAGAAAATATGAAAACTTTCCTTTCTGACTAGTAAGAGAAAGGTTGGGGAAGACAAGGGGAAATACATCGATGAGCCAAATCAATCATTATTATTTGTTGGGATTAATTTAGTGACTAACATTTTCAGTGCCCATAAGGCTACTAAAAGTGAATTTGGCTTTACCCTGCAGTGATAACAGAACAAGCCCAAGTGTTTTTTAATACTACTTGTTTTCCCTGGTAGGGGATTTTTTTTTTTTTTTTTTTTGCATATGGGAAATCAAGCCAAAGTTACCAGTAACAGCCACATTCAT